GAGATAATGGATTGACCTGGAATAATAGCAGTGAATTTAGAGGAAAGTGGACATAAAGAGAAATTTAGGACATGGAATAAAACCTCAAGCATCCTCCAATATTATAATTCACCAAGAATCAATATGATAGTATCTTTAAAGTGAAAATACCTTTACAATAAGGGAACAGCAGTGCTAATTCTAATCAATAAATGGGCAATCTCTTTTAGAAAATTCCAAACTATGCCAGTGGTGTTCTCCATTCATCCTGTGATCCCCTCGCTCCAATAATCCCCATTCTCACAGCTCTCTTGCAAGTTATCTCTTCTAGTAACTTTTACTCATTATTAAATCGCCAATACCGTTCATAGTGTTCAGCACTTACAATTATACAACAACTTTTAATTAACGAAGGAAGGAATAAAGTTTTTTAAAAGGGCAAATATTCACCAACCCACACATTTCCTTACTTCTTAGCAATGGTTTAATAGTTCTTATGGTCCAAGTCTTTCTCTCTTCTATCCAAGTTCACTTCTAAATTCATTTATTTGAGATTATTGTTCACCATGAGTCAACTAATGCAATGGTTCAAAAAGCCGATTGAACCATATGTTACCTCTTCCATATTTGTGTCTTAAACAGAGATATGAAATGTTTTTATATTCACAAATGCATTACTAATGGTGGAGACTTCAGGCGGCAGGGCAGGCTGAAAAGACAGTGCTGCTTAAATCCCATCACATAGGTGTATCTTCTGTCTGTGCAGGAGACAGGCTCTGATGTGGTCAAAGAATCTTCAGACTAGAGATTTTCTGACAGGTGTTTTGTTACATGCATTGTCAGAGAGTGATAAAAAGCATAGTGAATGATGTGGGGATAAGCTCCATTATCAGTGATGGAACACAAAGTTTGGGGACCAATGCCTTTTGAAGAATTTTTTTCTAATTACTGGTGAATGACACTGACATAAATAACACGAAACCATAAAAAGCCTCTTGCACAACTGGATGTCAGAGAACAGTTTGCCAAACATCTCTTTGCTTTTGCAAGTAGGTATAGATTTACACTTTCATTATAATTTTACATATAAAGTTTCAAAATATATAATAAATTGGTTAGGTGGCTATATTCCTTATTATTTTCAAGAAAGAACTGATTGCACTTGTATTTGGAGTTTTCTACATATAGCAGAGAACAAAAAATTCCCAAATGGCTTCTGAATATTGGCATTTTGATTGTGTATCATGCGAAATGTTATGATTGTATAAATATACGATTTTTAAATCATCAATGATATTTCTATATTTGGAATTGAAATAGATAAATAAAAGACATTTGGTATCAAAAGTATCCTTATTGACCCTACAGTCAATATTGGACAATCTAAAACATTATTATAAGGTAAACATTTTATCAGTGTGATCTCTACCTTTTCTAATAACAATGAAATAATGAAGTCTAAGAATATTTTCTCACTAATTTTAAGCTGTCATTTGGTCGATATTTTAATGTGGAGAGCTGGTGTGTTGAGAATCCACAATTTTTTATAACTGACTCAGGAGAAATAGAAGTCTTTTAGGGATCCTTATTCTTTACTTATATGTAAAAACAGAATTGAGTATTTCTATCTACTGAAAGAAAGCCCATGAAAAAGAAGTTTATAAAATTTGAAAACATAATATTTTTCTAGGTAATTCACAATTTAGATGCTCTATGAACTAACTTGTTTGTTGTTCTACCTGGCAAATTGCAGAACCAGATGTCTGTGAATACAAACAACATGTGATAAAAGATCATTATAAAGTAGTAGCAGAAAAGTCAGTCAATGCTGATCACATCTGTAACTTTTTCTAAGAAAATCTGCACCTCACAAAAGCTACCAGATTGGGGCAGCCCCCATCACAGAAATATGAACTATATTTAGCCAAGTGAAAGAAAGGTAACCCCACCCATTGGTTGGCCTATGGTCTTAGACTTAGGACTTCTAGCCTGGTCCTAAGGATCTAGCCTTAGAACTAAAAAGATATTTGGACCCAGCTATATTCTTTCTTATGTATTTGACTGAGAAGATTTTGAGAGAAGATGCCATTATCTGTAGGAACAGATGTTGAGAAGTAATGATGTAACAAAAAACACCACTGGAGCTCATGCTAACTACAAGGTAAGCGAATGAAGGCACAGAAATCTGATGAAGCAGTGGATGCCACTCAGTGTTTGTGACAAACATATTGTTATTTAGTCAACAGCCATTTTTCCCTTCTTATCTGCAGATAAAACTTTTGATGTTGTTTGTATAGTAAGTGATTAGTCAGGAAGGTTGGATTATGACTGGTATAAGCCCAGTGGTCTGCTAGAAACTGTCTATACCAGGTCACAAGAGCTGTTTTTATGTACTTCTTCCCAATTCAGAGTTCAATGACATCACATTGATAGCTGGATAATTGTCAACGTGGCAGTATTTATGCCACAGAAATCAGCAAATGCTACAAATTAGGATAACCACTCTCTCTGGTCCCCAGTCATGTGGGTTAACCATGTATCAGCACTGTGAGGCCATCATGGGAAACACATTTGCCTTTGCTAGTGATTGGTCCAGGAGAAGGTACAGGATGAATCAATAACAAGTATGAGAAAGTCTTATGGAAGGCATCCAGGAACGATTTCTTTCTTGACAGGTTCAACCCAACAATCTGCTTTTCTTCCTGTTTTAGGTAGATTGTGTAATGCTCTGAGGTATAATGCTTTGAGATTCAACCATGAGGGAAGCTCAATAGAATACAGAGATGCCTACATAGGTCATTAATAACCTTAAACCACTACCAACTTGAGCATCCAAAAAACAGCACAGTAGAAACAGTCCACCCCAGTATAGAAAATAGTGGTGTGCATCTCTGTAGAGAATTTAAAACAAAAATGAAACAACTACATATTAATCCATTTCTTAGTACTCCCTGTACAAACAATTCTAAATAATGTTAGTGATAAGATACTCCCCCCACATATCTGGATTATTCCTATCCAAGTTTTCTGTTATCTAGGGCTAGTAAGTCTAGAATCAACTACCTAAAACATCTAGTTAGATAAAAGGAAGGTTTTTATTCTTTAAGCAACTTGCATATGCATTTTCTGTTACATGCAGGCAAAATATTCTAAAACACTGAAGGTGTTTATGGAAAGTAGCACACTATGAAGGTTGCTAGGTCAGGTGACTCCAGCACTGAAAAGCAAAACCATGGGTTCCTGCTCTAAGGACCCAAGGAGGAATGCAGACCCTGGCCTCTCTATTTATGCAAGACCTGGCCAATTACAGTTCCTGTTCTTGTGTGTTCAGGAGGGTCTCCCTGTAGTGCCATCAGTATACCAATAAAAGTGCCTTTACACCAAGTAGCATCAGCAGGTTCCTTTCATTGTAACCAAAAGAACTACCTTAAATGAAGAACCTAGCACTGAACAGCTCCATTGCAAAAGACTGCCCTAATATAAAATGTTGAATGGATTCACATTGCAAATAGACAAAAATATGCTTAACATAGCATGTTCATAATAATAAATTACAATTTATCTAAATGCTAACAAAAGGAGAAAAAATGAATTATTTTTGATGTTATATACTAATGTGGTAAAATTCAGCCAAATACTATGTGTAAAAGGCAAATAATTATATATATCTATATATCTATATCTATATATATATATCATGGATGGGCATAAATCAGATACCAGTGGTTGTTATTTCTGAATAGGGGAACAAGGGATGTTAATATTTTCTCCCATATATATTCTATTATTTGCAAAGTTTTTCACTCTACAGATATAAAACCAATTTTAAAATAATTAACACACATTTTCTTTTCATTACCGAATCTTGAAAACACACTAGGTTTCTGGAACTACTGTTCAGGATGAATATATATACACAGGTCAAAGTAATGAGTTCAACAAGTTAGACAAAATACATTGGAAAACTTTAAAAAGATAAAATGATGTTAGAAATTCCCAAGAATTTGGTTTGTAAAAAAGCATGTTATCACATTTCAAGGAAATCTCTTTCTCAAATAAATGTATAATTTATTTTAAGGAGAGTCTTAATTTTTATGAGAATTAAAAAAACTAAAAAGCCTTTAGTTATTTGCTGTTAGAACAGTATAGTCAAACCTGAGTTATGCTTCTGAGGATATGGCTTTATGAGAGCAATTCCACAAGCCTGTGGTGAGAATCGTCTTGATGAGAATCACCTGGGCTTGCCCTCTCTGTTCCTGATGTAGTCAGATGTTTAGACTAGTTTATTTGATCCTTTACATCACCATTATTCAAACATATACACATTGTGTATCAAATAAATATATATGTGTGTGTGTGTGTGTGTGTGCATATACACTGGTAGTAGAAGTACACATTGTGTATCAAACAAATATATATGTTATATCTATATATATGTGTGTGTGTGTGTGTGTGTGTGTGTGCGTGTGTGTGTACATATATATATTTTTTTCTGAGTGTAGAAATATTTTTTTTGTTTGAGAAATGCAGGGAAATCAAGACATACCAATATTTTAAAGAAGAGAAACTGATGATTTATGGTAGTAGAAGTACACATTGTGTATCAAACAAATATATATGTTATATCTATATATATGTGTGTGTGTGTGTGTGTGTGTGTGTGCGTGTGTGTGTACATATATATATTTTTTTCTGAGTGTAGAAATATTTTTTTTGTTTGAGAAATGCAGGGAAATCAAGACATACCAATATTTTAAAGAAGAGAAACTGATGATTTATTTGAAAAAACCAGGATATGCCTAAGATTTCCACCTACTATTTTTAATTATGCTTTGCTCAAGAATAGAAGTTCCTTTTAGGATCACAAGGCATGAGACTTATGACTAAGAATAGATCATACGTAGCAGCACTTGGCAATAAGAATGCCTCATTATATTGCATAAAATTAATTAGATGCAGTATTTTTCTGGTTCGGAAAATTGACTAGAGCAAATGTATAAATTAAAAAATCAAAAACATACCAGATACAGCAAGGAAGTCATCAATGCTTGTGATGTCATCTACAGCTTCTGTGAGGACATGGATGTGATTCTCCCACGTGCACTTGTACATTTCCATGGTTTTTTTGACCACTTGACTTTTGGGTCTTGCAGCCAAAGCAAGTGCAGCATTAATAACCTGTAAAGATGTGGAATGTTCACATAGTGATTTCTTTGGGAACAGTTATTCTGAAGAAGATAGGTACATTCAATTTTAGCAACAGGAAAAATGCTAAAATGTCCTCACAGGTAACGCCCTTTTTGCTTTTGGTAATTATTTTCTTTTCTTTTGACAATAATTTAATTACTTTTGGAACTATTTATTACCTGCCAGTGCATTAAGAACTACAAAAGATACAAAGATAATTGAGATCTGCCTTTAAGGAATTCGTATATTCCTCAACAGGAAGGGCAACATATAATTATAACTCAATTCAGTGTGTAGTACATGTCATGAGTACAAATAATGGTTTTATTGTCTTTAGAGAACAGAGTTCACCTTCAGCAGAAAGAGTAAGAGCCCTGACTTCCTTGAGGACTTGTTGAATTTTCACAGGAGACAGTCATTATTTATTCATTTGTTCATTCATGTGTCAGTCAATATTTCAAATACATTTTGAGTGTCTTTTATGTATCCAGCACTGTTTCAAGTTTTAGGGATATGGTAATGAACAAGACACAGGCAAAAATCATTGTCTTGATGAACTTTACATTACAGTCAATTATCAAGTTGAACAAATGAAATAGATGGTCTGTTAGATGGCTATAAGAACTAAATAAAAAACGGAGTAGAGAGAGGGATAAGGAGTAGAGTGGTGGTTAAGGTAAGAAGTTTGCAATTTTAGCAAAATTGAAATGGAAATTTAAGTAAGATCACAGGTGAGAAGGAATGCTGGGACAGGGAAGTGGCAAGATTCCAAAGGTTAGAAAACAGGGGACACGCTGTGATATTGGGAAGCAGTCCCTCCTAGAGCCTGTAGGAGTCCCTGACTATCTGGGGTCTTATTTGAAAGGCACTGGAGGGTCATGTGGACTTTTTAGCACTTTCCTCAGAATTACACTTTAGGAAAATTAATTTGGCATGGAAGGCTACGGCAGTAGGCGACAGAAGTAGGTTAAAAAAAGACAGCACTGCAATGGTGGAGCAATCAAAAGGCGTTGATGGGACTTTCAGTTAACTAAAGGAGGATGAGAGCAGGTTAATTATTGCCAAAAATATCATGCAGGTGTTAATTATTTTGTGTGTGTAACTGATTTTTTCAGATTTTCTAGAGTGGATATGTTTTAGCTGTATACCCAGAATAAATGAAGTTATTCTTCAAAGAGAGATGATTACTAAGGCCTCCCCATGACTAATGGAGAGTTTTTGTTTGTTTGTTTGTTTGTTTGTTTGTTTGTTTTTGTCAGTAAGGGGAGTAGAGCGAGATGTGTGCAATTGTTTTGGAGGATAGCGTTGCTGGGGGTACTAGATGTTGACTTTGAAATGACTCTTGGCTCTCCATACAAATTACATAGAGAGCCATCAGAGAACTGAAATTGGAGCTCATAAGAACGTTGTCTCTGCACTGGATACTAATGACATCACAATGAAGGTGATGCCACCCTAGTTTCTAAAACAGGCCACACTCTAGTAGAACAATCAAGGGGCAAACAGGCAAATGCAACATCCCATGGTTCTTACAAAGCCGGCCTGGATCAGAGTCACCTGGAGAGGTTGTGCAAACACAGTATAAATGAAGCCACGCCCTAGTTTCTAACTCAGTCCAATCACCTCGCGGCTTGATAATTTGCCCTTATAGCAAGTTCCCAGATGATAGTGATGCCACTGGTGGGCTGCCTGCACTGAAACCCACTGCAGCATACAATACATGCTACAACATAAGGGCTATTGCAAAAGGTAGCACAGGATGCCCCATAATACCCAGGAGAGGTACCCAGCTCCGTAAGGAAAGATGCCCCAATGTACTGAAATTTGGAAAATAAGTAGACATTAGTATAAGGTGATATCCTTTTGGGAAGGAACAATAGCACAGGAAATGACCCAGAAATGAGATAGAGAATAATTCACCTGCTGGGAAATGTTTAGGAGAAAGGCCATAGTATTAGAGTTGGAAGAAAATCAAAGGATGCAATGGGCTGAGGGAGGAGAAAAACACCTTTGCAGAGTATCCACAAAGTGGAAGTGATCGAGATGAGAAAAAGAACCATCACAAAGGAGGTAGAAAACTGAGATATTAAAGATCAATATGAGAAAGAAGTTTTTCAAAAGGTCAAATGTAGTAGAATCAAGAATAATGAGAACTAAAAATTGCTTTTGCAATTGGAAAACAGGCCTCATTAGTGTAGCAGAATGTTGGACACAGGATTCAAATTTCACCACCATAACATGGAAACAATAAAAATAATCTTTTTCTAGTAAGTAACCTAAAGGCTGAACTTTACTTAAATGACTTCCAACAAATTATTGGGGGTAGAGGAAGGGAAACATTTGTGGCTTGAAAATATTAATTGATATTCTCTTATTTCATTTTTATGAAAGGACACATGAAATTCTAAGAAAACACACACTACGCTGAGGAATAACTACTGTTCAGTATTCCTTGACTTCAGTTTTAGAGTTTTATTAACCCATTAGCTTACAGTGTAGGCTTGTGTATATTGCAAGGCTCTGGTCTCTGGTGTTTAATTTTCCTTGCAATTAGACAACTGTGCACACATGTGGCTGTGTTGAAATTCACAGGGAGGCATACTTTAAAGTGGTCCTGGTGAAGAACCTTCAGTGGGGACAAGGCGACATGAATATAAGACAGGCTATATTTTTAAAGGACATTTGCTACTGATCCAGCTTATCTGATTCAACATTGTACACTATGATAAAACTCTATCCTACTTGGTTCTCCTGATATTTTAGCTTGAATCTAAAAGCAGACAAAATTCCGAAGATAAGCTAGCCCTGTTTAAGGGAGAAGAAAATCTTCATCCCAATGCCACACTCCTGGAATTTTTTCTATATATCTAGAGGGAGGGGGAAAAAAAATGACCATTCCTCAATCCTCTTCAGGCTAAACAGGACTGACATGAGTTGTATTGCTTTCTGAGGCATTTTTATTTACATTACTAGAGGCCCGGTGCACAAATTCGTGCAAAGATGGGGTCCAGCCGGCCCGTCCTGATCAGGGTCGATCGGGCCAGCCAGGATGAGGGGACCTGGGAGGTTGGACAGCCAGCCCTGCCCCTGATCAGGGTAGGGGGGTGCCTGTAGGGGACCAGGCTGGCCTGGGGGAGGGGCCACAGGAGATTGGTGGGCCAACCCCACCCCCGATCAGGGTGTAGGGGAGCCAATGTGGAATGGGGGTGGGTGAGGGGAGATGCCGTCCCCGCCCCCTGGTCAAATTCCCAGTTGAACTGCTGGTGGAGGGGAAATTTGCATATTAGGTATTTATTATATAAGAATAGAGGCCCAGTGCACAAACATTTGCGCTCGTGGCGGGGGGGTGGGGGGGGTCCCTCAGCCCGGCCTGTGCCCTCTCGCAGTCTGGGACCCCTCGGGGGATAACCATCTACTGGCTTAGGCCTGCTTCCTGGGGGATTGGGCCTAAGCTGGCAGTCAGACATCCCTCTGGCAGCCCGGCAGCCATCGGCCTGCAACTAAGGTCCCAGTCTCTCCTTTTTTCCTTTTTTTTTTTAATTCTGGGATTTATTTACCTTCTGTAATTGAAACTTTGTTGCGGCTCCAGCTCTGAGGCCGACTGGCTGAAAGCAGGTATCTGGGGTTTGTTTAGCTTCTATAATTGCAACATTACTGCTTAGAGCACAACTCTGAGCCCAGCCACAGCAGGCGGGGAACCTTGGCTTCCTCCATCACTGGAGCAAGCAAGCATCCTGCTCGCTTCAGCTGCCTGGCTGCCGGCTGCCATCTTGGTTGGCAGTTAATTTGCATATCACCCTGATTAGCCAATGGGAAGCACAGCGGAGGTACGGTTGATTACCATGTTTGTCTATTATTAGATAGGATGGTTGAGATGCATACATGACCCTGTGAATCACCTGGTCAGTCATTTCACCTTTGAGACAGTATCTTTATACTTCAGAATTTGATTACATCTTAATTAGACTATTTTAATAGTCTTTTAAATAGTTTCCTCGCTCTAGTCCCTACAGAAAAGGCTTTTTCTTTTTTTTTTTAATTAATTTTTTTTTAAGCGGGATTTTGTCAAGCAAGTAAGGAGAGCAAAGGATTTGAGCAAGATTATAGTAGCGGCATGGAACCCAAAGATCTGCTGAGACCTCTACTGGGTTCCTTCCTTTTTGTGTCTGGCTTCTGCTCTCCCAACTTTTCCTGCCCATGCTCACTGATAAACGCTGTGTTTGCTGCTGCTTCTCTCTCCGACTGGTCTCCATTTCTCCTTCCTCACAGAGGCCTGTTCAAACTAGCTCCTGTCAGCCTTGGTGCCTGGGGACATTAGGCCCCCCTGGTGGAAGCCCACCTAGTTTCAGCAGGTCCCATTCTACCTCCTTCAGGCTTCCTACCCTTTTTACTGGGACATGGGACGAAGGCCTCAGCATACCTTAGGCTAAGCTCCTTCCCATTAAAAAAATTATTTTTCAGTTACAGTTTGCATTCAATATCATTTTGAGTTCTTATATTAAATCAGACCATTTTTATTACATCATGCCTTCACTTGCTGTGGGAAACTCTCAAACATCTAAACTTGATTCAGAATATCTAGGATTTTTAGTCTGTCTCTCTAGACTTTGTAAAACATTGGCATTTGTCAACATTTAAAAATTAGTAACTAGTTATCATTTATTTTTGCATTCTAAATACTCACGTTTATTTTCTAAAGAAAGGCCTTCAAAATTGTATGAACTTTAGACCCCACGTAGCCTGGTTTGCCACAGTCAAACCATGTATTTTTCATAAAAAGCTACCTATTGTCTGAAATGATAAAATGAACATGGATTCCACTGCAATATTTTATCTAAACTTGGTCTTGATAACAAGGCTTTGACTTTGCTTCCTTAGAGAAAATAGCACTACCAGATAAAGAAGTCTTTTTAAACATCCTATACTACTTCATCTGTTTTGAAGACAAGCTACTCCTTCCATCCTCCCTTTTGGTGTGAGGTATATATATA